TTCACTCAAGTTTGTATTACTGTAGTATTTCCATTTATGCTACTTTATACTTCTACTACATATTGTACTTTGTATTGCACAAAATGCATTTAACACTTTCATTTACTAGTTACATAAAAATGTATGATATGCTTCTGTGTTGCGGTGCAGCACTATACTACCATTGCACCCATTAGTGCTTATAAAGTATCTAACATCGATGAAGTACAATATTACATGCTCTCAGTCGTCAGTGATACAAGCGGTAATAATATAATAATCTATATTGATACAACACTTTGAAAGGAATCATTCAGTAGTTTTACTTTTCATACTTCAAGTAGATTTTACTGATAGCACTGTACTTTTGCTTACGGAATGTAAACTATGTAACTATGTAAAGCCAGACTCTAGACTTCATTATCAATAATAAATAAAAGGAATAATATATATATAATTTTCAATAATTCCTAATACTGTCTGTGTAAGAGACACATCTTCCTCTCATTAGCATTTGTGCAATAGTGAATAACTGACTGCACACTCTTGTTTTGTTGAGAATTAGTTAATCGCATTATTTCACAATGACCATTTTATTCAATTTTTGTCATATTTTGGAATACAACAATGATTGACATTCAGTGATGAACGTGTTGTTCTGATAAATGTATTGTCTGATGTATTACCTACATTTTTAGAGATATTTTTCTTTATTTGCCCCAACTAGGTGGCTGCAATACATTCAGAGCAGTTGTGTAAGTATCCGGTTCCTTTACTTAAGTAAAAGTAGCAACACCACAATGTAAAAATACACTATTACATGTTATCGTCCTGCATTTGAGATTTAACTCAAATACTATTCACAATAGTAGTATTTCATAACATTTAGTATTGACAGATGTAAAATAATCACTATGCAGAGTTATTGCTTTTTATTGATGCATAAGTGTGTTAGCAACATTTTAAAGTTGCTGGAGTTAATGTTAACTGATTTGTAGGACTATTGATAGGTTTATAAGTTACTCTTTACAGATTAAACTATTTATTTATACATTTTCCACCACTTTCCCATGAAAGGAAGACAAGGGAACATTGGGAACATTCTGCTGTAGCTTTGTTGCATACCTGGTATGACACTCACGTTCAGTTAGTTTGTTGCTTTAAAAACATCAAAGATATTTCACAACACGAGGCGAAGGCTTCCAGCTGTCATCCAAAGAACTGGTTTTGTTTGACAGTTAGCAGGTTGCTAAAGTTAAGAGGCGGAAGAACAGTTGGATTTTGAATTGTTGGAAATGCAAAAAGAGATTCATATCTATGTTAACATGAAATGCAAAACAAGACTATTACCCCCGTTACACCTTGCATTAAAATGAGTCTCGTTTCCAGATTGTATCTAGATATGATTTAACCTGAATAAGTTTACACCTTAAATATGTGTCTCCAGTGTCCACATTGAAATCCCATTGAGATCCTATCGCTGTTTAAAAGTGCGGAGTGGAGCAATCCAGAAGTTACGCTCAGGTTGTATATACTATGACATGCTATACATCATAGTATAGCATGTTGTAAAAATTCAAAAAATGTCACAGTATAGCATGTTGAAAAATGTCATAAAAGTCAGTACAGCATGTCGAAACAATTCAAAAAAAGTCGTAGTATAGTATGTCGTAAAAATTCTAAAAAAGTCATAGTATAGCATGTAAAAAAAAAGTCTTAAAAAAGTCATAGTATAGTATGTCGTAAAAATTCTAAAAAAGTCATAGTATAGCATGTAAAAAAAAGTCTTAAAAAAGTCATAGTATAGCATGTAAAAAAAAGTCTTAAAAAAGTCATAGTATAGCATGTCGTAAAAATTCTAAAAAAGTCATAGTATAGCATGTCGTAAAAATTCTAAAAAAGTCATAGTATAGCATGTAAAAAAAATTCTAAAAAAGTCATAGTATAGCATGTCGTAAAAATTCTAAAAAAGTCATAGTATAGCATGTAAAAAAAATTCTAAAAGTCATAGTATAGCATGTAAAAAAAATTCTAAAAAAGTCATAGTATAGCATGTAAAAAAAAGTCTTAAAAAAGTCATAGTATAGCATGTCGTAAAAATTCTAAAAACGTCATAGTATAGCATGTAAAAAAAGTCTTAAAAAAGTCATAGTATAGCATGTCGTAAAGATTCTAAAAAAGTCATAGTATAGTATGTCGTAAAAATTCTAAAAACGTCATAGTATAGCATGTAAAAAAAGTCATAGTATAGCATGTCGTAAAAATTCTAAAAAAGTCATAGTATAGCATGTTGAAAAAATCGTAATATATTATGTTATTTAAAATTCAGTAAAAAGTCACAGCATAGCCTGTCATGAAAAAAAATCATAGAATAGTTTGTCATTAAGAATCAGTAAATAATCATTGTATTGCCAGTTGAAAAAAGTAATTCAAGGATAATTTATTGTGAATATGCAACACAGGGCTGCACAACGAAATACAGTTGAAGCCCATTTTTAACACAGTAAACACATGACTAACCAAACAAAAACAGCAGTATATTCCAGCAGTACATCTTTTGAATTTGCATCATAAGGAATTGAAACGGCTGAAACAAAAAGATTTCTCTGGGCTGACATCTCCACATTAAAAATTAAAAATGAGGAAAATATTATCCATTAACTTTGACTGTGTAAGCATCATGATGTGAACACAGAGTCCACCTCCTCTCGTCTCTTCATCCGGGATGAACGATGGAGCCAAGTCTCTGTGAAGATGTGGGCTCAACAGTCACGACCCCCCGCTGCTTTCATCCATTCTGTTTTTGTGCAGCCGGGCATCAGACAGCCAGTTTGTATAGCATGTCGAAAAAAGTCATCGTATAGCATTTCAAAAAGTCATCGTATAATATGTTGAAGAAGTCAGAGAGAACAGGAAAACATTGTGAATATTTGCATTACTTCAATAAGACTTAAACAAGACCAGTTTCTTAAAAAGAAGTGTTTTATTTCCTTTTTAACAAAGCCCAATACAGATTTGAAGCATAACTTGGGGAAAAACTGGTAAATCTCAATCTAATCATTATGTCTGGGACACCCATAACAAGATGAGCCTCAAAGAAAAGAACAGAAAAGAAAGAAGACACCTAAAATAACCGTACAACCCAGACCTGGGGCAAAGAAAATAATGGTGCATGTTGTCCAAGTACTAGAAAATAAGGAAAATATTTTTGACAATAAGAATAAAAGAAAAGTTGTTGGGGCGGTAAATAAAGTCTAGTAAAATAAATGCACTAAACGAAAAAAATGATCAAATGTTTCCACGCTGACACATTTCTTCATATCCAGTTATGTCAAATGCATCATTTATCATTTATTTTACATTTGTTTCAAGAGGAAGTTACACAAAGTCCGTTTCCTTTCACCACGAACAGAAGTTGTGCCGAAGATGGAGAGAATTAAGAGTCAAATTTGAAAAGAACTAATCGATATTACATTAAGGTTAATGTTTGTGTTTCTTTACAACTAATCTGTCACACAAAGATATATTCAACAGTTTAACTCGACAGCTGTGCAGAGCATGATTACATTTTAGTGTGGGAATAAAAATATACCTAAATAATGTTTGAAATATATATTATTATTAGTGGCAGACGCTGTCATTTGAGTGAGTGAAGTTTGTCACATCGGTTAGACTTAATGAGAATGAAACATTGGTAGTTCCGGTGGCTTCATTCTAAATATTTCACGATGATTATTCCACTGGGTTTCTCACACACGTACCGGCCACTTGGACCTTTAAAGAGCCAGAATAAAGAAGTGGGAAAGAAAGTTAAGTTGAGCTGTGGTTACATTTGTCTGTCAAGGATGTGACTGGCACACGTCCTCGTTGAAATATGAAATTAAAGACTATCTGAAATGAGCCGATCCACCCATGTAAACACAGTGATTTTCTGATACAGAAAAATACTAAGTGGACAATGTATATCGATCTTTTTAATAACAATATCCATCAGTTGAAAACACCGGTCTGCTTTGATATATTCTCGTGTGGGAACATATATATTTTATAACAAAATAAATCTATACCTGTTTGCACTGTGACGGTTATATATGGGTTTGTACAATCGCATCATCTCGTTCCTATGAGTGCTTTCTTTGTCCGTGTCAACAAAGACCTGCATGGAGCTCTGTAAGAAATAGTACTTGTGACTGAAGCGGCTCAAATACTCAAAAGGCTCTGCCTGAGAAGAAGAAAGAAAATACTCATCACCATTTTTATACCAGTTGTTAAAGTAATCTATAATAAAGTGTATGTTGCTATTATTATCTTTTAAAAATCATAAGCTTTTTTTTTTACTGTATCTTTTACTGTTTCGACAAAATATCCTTTTTGGATATTTACACAGGAAAAGATACTTTTCAAGCAATAAAACAAGCTTATATGGTGGGTTGGGACAGAATGAAACACAATTCTGAAGAAATAAACGGAGAAAGAATTGCATAGCAGATCAGAATATGACTAACCGGGAACTGATCCTTTTTGGTATGGTGCACTTTGATTCGTGACGTTGCACATTTTCACATATGTACATGAAATGGTGAGTCCATTCATGGTTTCACCTGCCCCACAGTAAGGATCAAGTTTGCGTCTGCACTATAATGCTCAACAGTATGAAGGCAGGATGCGGAAGTCTCGTCCCCCTCTGCTCTTCTCATAAAAGTCCATACGAGTCTTTTTCAACAACAAAAAAAAATTAAAACTTTGTTTAAAAAGTGCCATTTTGCTACATTTATCAGCTGATCCATGGTCTGCTACTGAACAGTTAACACAAGCAAATGTGTTACACAGCCTGCCCCGACATTTTACACATTTTCCTGATTCTATGAGTTTTGGTCACATGGACAATCTCTCACACACACACACACACACACACACACACACACACACACACACACAC